TTTTAGTTTTAATAATAACAAGAACTGCTTTCACAGTTTTTTGTTTTAAAATCGCCTGCTACAACTGGGAATCAAACTCGTGAAATTTTTGCTAAATAACATAGCATTTTAAATGAAAGAAAGGTAATTTAATTTAACATTTTATTTAACACAAACTAATATAAAATCGGATACGCTTCAAAGTAAGTAAAAATGTTGAGTTCATCGACGTTGACGTTTATCATCCGCTGCTGTGGTTTTTGTAGCTCAGATCAAAACGTCCTAAATTTCTTAATGTATCCACTAACCTTTTAAACACATATCGAAAAGGTACGTCTCACGGTACCACCGCAAAGCTAATATGTCTTTGTGGTTCATAAAGTAATCTTCCATTAAATCCATTTTATTTTGATACGTCATGGTAAGTAAATTGCAAATAAACGAAAATGAACCCGACAAAAAACAAAAGAACAGATGCTTGAAAATTTGTGTTTCAATTTCAAATTATTATTTTTATAAATTTCAGCCAATCGCATTGTAACTGTGAGGTCAAAAAGAAATGTAAACGTACTACACAGTCTCTACATCACTTTATTATTTTTATCACGTAATAAGTCATTCCTTTCTTTTAAAATGCAAAGTTATTTAGCAAAAAATAATCCTTATGATTAACCCTTTCAATGGTTATCATAAAATATGTTGTGTTTATTTTTTCGAAATTTCACGAGTTTGATTCCCAAGAATAGAAGAAGATTCTTCCCGAGTTTAAAAAATCTGTGAATGCAGTTCCAGTTGCTATTGAAAATAAAACAATGTCTTCTTTCAGTAAAATATCATATCTTCAATATTTAATATACTTTCCCTCGTGGCCGTGGGACGTCCTGTATATACTGGTTCGCAGGTTCGCACCTTGTACAAAGAAAGTAAAAATTGCACTTTTCAAGGCGCATTGTCAATCTTTCTACACGTGTAGCCTGTGGGTCAAATTTACGCAGAGGGCTCATAGCGCACTACTAGTCCAGTACAATAATGCTCTCAGAGTGCTGTTGGGTTTGTCGTTGTGCAGTATGTTCGCAGATGTTCATGTTGACGGCTTTCATGCTATAATATAAGGAAGCGCTGCGCGGCGCTTCTGAGCGAAATACGTGGCAGCACCAACCTTACGGCACTGGTTGACAGGTGGGATTCTCCCCTGTTGGAGTGCTGGTTGTATATGCATACGAAGCCCCCGGGTAGCATGTAGGGAGTTTTTTGTTTTTTTTAGCTGAAGGAATTATTTACTTTCCCTCAGATTGCAAATGCTATGGGGATTGTATTTCATTGTTGTTATTTGTTAAATGGTTTAAGGTTATTTATTATATGGGTGATGTATTTAGTATACGCGTTTATGTATGATTCTTTACTTAGAATTTGCAGTAGGTTAAATTGGTTCTGTAGGTTGCAGGTGGAGATGTTATATTCGGCGCGGGTAACGGCGAAACGTGGGCAGTTTTCGATAAGATGATCCCCCCCTTCATGTTGTCGCATGTAGGGGGTGGCTTGTGTTTCAGCAGGGGATGATCATAATATTATTATTATTTGGAATTTCTTCTATACTTTACTAACATACTTTACAAGGCCCGTTGTTACTAACATTCTATGGACTGTATAACATTATAGATGTTAACGGGATTGTTACCATGTACCTTGTTTTTTATGAGTCTCTACCCTCTGACGTCGTCTTTTACTGCATTCGATACCCCTACCACTGGTCACATTCTCACTATTCACTTGCATTTGTTCCCGGCACGACAAATGCCGACACTTAACGACAACGACACTTTCTTGATTTTTTTTATGATAAAAAAAATGAGAATGTGACCAGTGGTAGGGGTATCGAACGCAGTAAAAGACGACGTCAGAGGGTAGACCGATATGTCTGCCAATAACATCTACCCGCAATTACTTCAGTTACTCCGTGATCATGGCGCTTGCAACAGTGCGAAATATCGGAGACTCATAAAAAACAAGGTACATGGTAACAATCCCGTTAATATCTATAATGTTAGTGACCATGAAAGTTTAAAACAATGCATAACATTGTCTGAAAAACAATTATTATTTTCAATACTTACCAAGCCCATCAGAACTTCAGGTTTACTTGTCCATTGTCGTGCTATCGATTCACTACTAACACCAGCGCCAGGACACTTCCTCACGGGATACTCCACGTGCACAGGATCCAAAATAAATTGAGGATACTTCTCAGGATAGTCAGCTTGCATTTCGTTTATATAATTAAGTACTGCCAGTGTATTTGTTGACGATTCAGGGTTGCATTAAGGAATCTTGTGTTGTCAAGGTAATGGTATAATCAATAGTGCGACCCAGCGGCGTCTTTTATTAATATTTAGACTTATAAATTATTTGGCCTATTCGGACTCTTTAATCTATATATATAAAACTCAAAGGTGACTGACATAGTGATCTATCAACGCACAGTAGTACAGTCAATCTGTCGAAAAAAATATCGTTTCAGTGAAAAAAAAACCTAAAGGGTAAGTCTTGTTTTTTCTGTTGCCAAATGACGTCAGTAAGCCACCTTGGCGATGGGCATGTTCAACTCGTAGGCGTTTTTAGAAAAACTCAAAAAAACCGTCAAAAATTTTTTGAAACGCATTTTTCTTGTTTTGTATGCATTTTAGAAACTTTTTTTTTCAACCATAATTGTAGAGGGCGTTGAGTGCTACAATTTATGTCATTGTTGCAATCTCGTACAACAAAAAATGCGCATTGTAGGTGGCGCTAAAGTCTCAAAAAAGTGTTTTTTTCACTTTTTCTCCCTGAAAATATCATTTTAATGGAAAACTTCAAATGGCAAAGTTGTTTCGTACATAATAACCAACAACTTTTGTATAAACATTTTTTTGTATTACTTACCGTTTTCAAGTTATAAATTGCGCTGGTATGAAAAATCCAATAGAACGGTTTTGGGCAGTTCAAGTACACATTTGCAGTGCACATTTCAATGTACGTTTTACAATTTTTTATTTTTTTTCATGATTGAAAAACAAAAAAAATAAAAATAAAATAAAAAAAAATAGTTTTTTTTTTTTTTTTTCATGATTGAAAAAAAATAGTAAAAACGTACATTGAAATGTGCACTGCAAATGTGTACTTGAACTGCTCAAAACCGCTCTATTGGATTTTTCATACCTGCGCAATTTATAACTTGAAAACGGTAAGTAATACAAAAAAATTGTTTATACAAAAGTTGTTGGTAATTATGTACGAAATAACTTTGCCATTTGAAGTTTTCCATTAAAATGATATTTTCAGGGTGAAAAAGTGAAAAAACACTTTTTTGAGACCTTAGCGCCACCTACAATGCGCATTTTTTGTTGTACGAGATTGCAACAATGACATAAATTGTAGCACTCAACGCCCTCTACAATTATGGTTGAAAAAAAAAGTTTCTAAAATGCATACAAAACAAGAAAAATGCGTTTCAAAAAATTTTTGACGGTTTTTTTGAGTTTTTCAAAAAACGCCTACGAGTTGAACATGCCCATCGCCAAGGTGGCTTACTGACGTCATTTGACAACAGAAAAAACAAGACTTACCCTTTAGGTTTTTTTTTCACCCCTCAACCTACAGATTGACTGTACTACAGCCCAAACCACTGGACGGATCGGGCTGAAATTTGGCATGCAGATAGATGTTATGACGTAGGATCAATTCTACCCACAAGGGGATAAAATAGGGAATGAAAGTTTGTATGAAACTTTGTCAATTTTAAACCGATCGGGCTGAGACTTTGCATGCAGGTATAAGAAGAATCATAGATGAATGTCATTGTGTATAATACAAGCCCGAGAACAAAAACTGTAGTCTACACTTCAGCTCTACACCGAAGCGAAGCGAGGGCGGGCCGCTAGTACATTATTATACCGTAAAGCAAGTTCCAAAGTACCTAAATGGAATTCAATTTGAAACAAAAGGGATTGTTGATTGGGTTATTTTGTTAATTCTGGGTCTTCGCCGAGACTGTTAATAGTTATTTATGATAATAGTGCGGTAAGTTGGTTATTACAAACGAGTAGACGGCTGTAAGCCCTTGACGAAGTATTATATATATTATAATATTACCGTGCCTTTACGTTCGTTTCAACATTGACATTTCACACTCGCAAACAATACGAATTCGATATTGGTTCGTGCTAAACGCGGTACAGTACCCCTAGCACGAACCATTATCGAATTCAAATAGTTTGCAAACCGAAATGTCAATGTCAAATTTTGTATGCAAACTTGAACAGCAGCGGCACAAAGTACGTAACGAGAACTAAAAATCAGTACAGATTTGACAATGACATTTCGGACTCGCAAACGTTACGAATTCGATTTTGGTTCGTGCTAAGGGTACTGTTGTATAGACCGTAATTTTGAACTTTCGATCAATGTAGGTACCCCCCGTAAATTCATTTGCTTTGTTTGAGCGAATGTGTTGAAAATATTACTGACGCAATGAAAATTAATAAGTATACCAAAGACTGTATTGATAGTAAAAAGGTAAAAATAATTGTATTCTTAAATTCCATCAAACGAGAATAAAAAAGGTCTCTTTCGGGAGAGGTTCTATTCCACAAGGGCGGGCCAGGGGGGGGGGGTCATGGGGGTCCTGACCCCCCCTCCTCCCTCCTCCCTGGGCTGGGTACAGATGAACCAAACTCAGGGGGATTTTATTTAAGTACTTTCAATATTTAATATACCACGACTATATGACCCCCCTGGCGCCAAAGCTGGATCCGCCCATGCTAGTCCAGTGGCCCAAGCACGAATTTTGGCAGCTCCGTAATCGTATCGTTAACGTCTAATTTTGTGTGGAAATAGCTAGTTTGTTTTTACATCCGGTAGAGGCACTGCTTAGTTATCATAGAAATTTGACGATGCAAATCGATAACGGGAGCTGTCAAAATTCGTTATTGCGACTCAAGTTTGAATATGAGAAGAGTCGAAACACAAAAACACACAAGAGCATTGTTTGGTAAAAATTCTTTACTTTCTCACAAATGACTGAAAATGTTATCAAAACACAATATACGTGTCATATAACTAACGTTAATACACAGACTGCAATAAATACGCACTGCACTGATAAATGTATACAACAATAGAACTAACTGCCTGTACAAGAAACACAATCTGTTCAAAAATAAATTATTGATCGAATTATAGGTCGCATACCGGTAAATAGGCTTTCGATATAATAAAATAAATCCAATTTATAGAATTCATTAATAAATTCAATTTATATAATAACATTTTTGTCTATGATTACGTAAAGTAGACAAGCAGTTCTATTGCTTATTTTCATTGTTATTACTTTGTCACCACAGAATTGTTTTTAAACAATTTGAGCTGTTTAAGATTCATCCAAAATAATGGGTTTCAGTAATCTTTCAGAATAAGTCATTATTCTGTGGTACTCCGCACATAAGTCTGTGGCAATTCACAAAGCTACAACTGTACCATCTAAACATGAGAAAACCAATGGTTAATAAGTTATAGCGACATTTTTTTTAATTCCTAACTGGCAGTGAACTTATGGTGTCGTAGCAACTATATATTGTTTCTGATTCATTAAATAATACGATTTTTACGAAATTTTACAAAACTACCCACAATTTAAAACAACCGACAATCCAAATCCTGTTAGGCACGAATATGTATAAAATGTAGATAAAATGTTCGAGGAGCTCGATGGCGCGGGTGGTTAGCGCGTTCGGCTGCGATCGTTGAAGTTAAGTAACTTTCGCAGTGGTCGGTCATTAGATGGGTGACGAAAAATCTTCTATCTCGAGATCCTCCGTGCTTCGGAAGGCACGTTAAGCCGTTGGTCCCGGCTGCATCTGCAGTCGTTAGCACCCGCCAATCCGCACTGGGCCCGCGTGGTGGGTCATGCCCCAATCGCCCTATTCCATCTATTAATAGGCTGATGATGATGATGATGTGGATAAAATCAAAAAGGTAAAATCAGCTAAGATGTCTGCATAAGTTGCAAAATCTTGACGACAATTAAAAATTGTGCTCGTTTAAACACAAACTTAAAACTAAGTAAGAAGAATGCTTATCGCCAGAACTTATTAGCCATTATATTAAAGTTGTGTTAAATAGTTGTCCTTAAAATTATGGATAAATAAATTATATTACGCGTCGCCTCTACGAATATACAAAATTAATACAATGTAAAATTACTTACGATACTAATACAAATTACATCACAGTTCATAAAAAGTTAGTTTAAAAAGTCATAAATACAATTTCCAAAGTAAAAACCTCTTGTTAGGTACACTAAAAGTTATATATATATAAAATAGGTAGGTAAACCGAACCACTAAAATTTGAACTGAAAACAACAAACAATTTTTGGTGACCAAGCAAATTTAGGAACACTCGAGAGAAAAAAATATCGCCTTTTAAAGGCTGTATTCATTTTGTAAATCCACTCGAAATCAAAAATAGGTAATAATACAGCTGTGCTATTCTATAAGGACAAACTCATTTTTAACCTTGGAACCCGCGGTGTGATTTGAAATTTTAAATCACAACGAATTTGTTCTTGCCGTTAATAGAACTACAGAAGATATTGTTAATTACAATAAAACTCACTCAAAATATCGAACAGTAAAACAAATTATTAAAAAAAAACATAGTAAGGTACCTTACAATGGAAAATGTACAAAACTCGGGCACGCGATTCCCGAAATCAAATTTCTTCAGTCGGATTAAAAATTCAGGTAGAAAGATACATTATAGTTACATTACTAACTAGTTTATGAGTAAAAAAGCTACATTTTAAGCTTCGGGGTTGCTCAGCGTTGCTTCGAAAATACTGTTCAGAAGCTTATGTACTTATCAATATCTGAAAGCTTGAGGGGGTAGTGTTTTATTAAGAACAATAATTGTGTAATATCGTAGAAAATATCACTTTATTATTTTAGGATGATAAAAAATATAGACTTTACTCTGTCAAAATGTACGTCGTTTCGTTTCTTAGTTCCTAATTAGTATAATGACAACCTTTCCATATGATGTTGAGATTATAAAATGATGAAACAGTTCCTAACACTTTAAGAATGGGCAGGTGGGCAGTTAAATATGGTAAGCGTCGGTTTTCAAGTACATATTTCAAAAATGGCGAAAATAGATTAAATAATCGGATATAATTTTTAGTATCACCACCCAGGTAAATGCCGATGGCATTAAAAGTAGTTAACAAACGTCACGACGTCGTCAATCACGTTAGCAATAAGAATCAAAATCTAAAATTATGTATGAAATGGTAGGTAATTTATTATTCGTTGTTCAAGATGTCTTTAGAAATCCAAAGAATCCAATAGCGCTAGTAAAGTTAAACTTAAAATATTTCTTAGCAAAAATGCATTAATATATTTTTTACTCAATTTTGAAACAAAGCAAACATGTTTATTGGTTATGTGGGTCCCATTCTAAAAATGATGTAAAATATGTTATTTAAATATTAGAGATCGCTGCCTTCACTTATTGCGCAGGTAAACATTAAGACAATCTTAAGGGTAAGATAGTAAAGCTTGTTGGGGCCACGCAATTTTAGCATCTATTCTCTTGTACGCAAGAATGAAGTTCTGTCCACTTTTCTCTGACATCACTTCTTGAGGGCAATCGTTCTCGTTCAACATGGTTTCTGTAACAAACGAAAAAAGGTCGAATAAGACAGTGTTATTAGTACCAGCACGCTTCAGAATATAGTGCGTTATTTAATCTGTTTTATTGGAAACTATATTACTACCTTTTGGTCGACATGGTTCGCTGTTCTTATTTAATTCAATATTTAAATCATACTATTCGATTAATTATAAAATTAAATGCAGTGTAAGTATTTTGTTGAAGACTAAACGTCTATTGCACAAGTTTATAAGAGAGCAGCTATCCTTTGGGGTGGAGAGAAACGCTCACGTAGGTATTAGTACCAGCGCATAGTCTTGCGCGTTAGCGATAGCGCCCGGCACAGGGCATATTCGCTAACTTTTTTGACATTTACAGTGTGTAACTAAAGCGAAACATGTATATCCATCGATGCTTTTCATAACAAATATCTCAGTGGCCTTATAATAAAGCAGTAGTAGATCACTAAATATCACTTCCATCTGTCAAAAGCAGTTAGCGAAGAGGCCTACTGGTCACGCGCGCGCTCCCGGCCGGCACGGCACCGCCTCGTAGTCCTGCTTTTTTCTTTTTTTTTTCTAATTTTATGACCTGGTAATAAAGACCTTTAGGTCATTACTTATTTGGACGTAGTCCTGCGGGTTGGTGATCGGCACGGCAGCACCACAGGGCGGAGGGAGCCACGGTAATGGTGACAACACCGCGGGTATATAGCAAGCTACGTACCGTGCCCATCGTGCAGCGCGAAAAGAGCGCAGTCCTGCGGGTTGGTGATCGGCACGGCAGCACCACAGGGCGGAGGGAGCCACGGTAATGGTGACAACACCGCGGGTATATAGCAAGCTACGTACCGTGCCCATCGTGCAGCGCGAAAAGAGCGCAGTCCTGCGGGTTGGTGATCGGCACGGCAGCACCACAGGGCGGAGGGAGCCACGGTAATGGTGACAACACCGCGGGTATATAGCAAGCTACGTACCGTGCCCATCGTGCAGCGCGAAAAGAGCGCAGTCCTGCGGGTTGGTGATCGGCACGGCAGCACCACAGGGTGGAGGGAGCCAGGGTGATGGTGACAACACCGCGGGTATATAGCAAGCTACGTACCGTGCCCGTCGTGCAGCGCGAAAAGTGCGTAGTCCTGCGGGTTGGTGATAGGCATGGCAGCACCACAGGGCGGAGGGAGCCACGGTAGTGGTGACAACGCCGCGGGTATATAGCAAGCTACGTACCGTACCCGTCGTGCAGCGCGAAAAGCGCGTAGTTTTGCGGGTTGGTGATCGGCACGGCAGCGCCGCGCGGCGGAGGGAGCTGCGGTACTGATGGCAGCGGTGCGGGTATATAGCGCGTTACGTACCGTGCCCATCGTGCAGCACGAAAAGCGCGTAGTCCTGCGGGTTGGTGATGGCGGCAGCGTGCGCTAGCGCCCGGCACAGATCACGCGCGCGCGCGCCCGGCCGGCACGGCAGAGCCACGCGACGGATGGAGCCGCGGCACTCGTCCGGCAGTGCCACGCGCACCACTGCAGTACCGCTACCGCTGCGTCCGCCTGCCCATTCCGACGACCCGCGACGCCACTGCTGACAACAACAACAACATGTTTTAGTATACACCACACCAGTTTAATAATTTTATCTTTAGATGACTAGTATTTTCCCCACTGCATGCACACCTTTCTCTATGGATAGAACGGGGAAAGCAAAATTTATGAGTTCTAATGACCGTAGATGTCATCAAAAACATCGAAGATCATTCATCCCATAACATTGCGGCACTTGCTTAACACTTGCTGAGCGCTATGTTAGTGGCGCCCCTGGTCGGGCACCAGTCGCTTGAACACGGCGACGGTGAAGAACAGCGCGGTGGGGTAGTAGCCTCACCCGCCAGTAACACGGCTGGCAACAACTCTTTTTTTTCGATATGGCGGGGAGAAAAAATGCATATATGTATTTTTACTTTTTCCCTATAAATCCCCATCGAAAGCCAGTTTACCAGGTAAACCAACTCCCCGATCTACCCCTCACCCTCTAGGCGTAACTGCAGGATCCAGTTATGAGGACATCAGTTCCGCTTCCAACTCACATACTAGTCGACACCGCGCCACAGTCCACGCTAGAACTCTGTAAATAGACGGGAACTTACAGGAGTGGCGCTGTCCGGCCCCTGGTCGGGCGCCAGTCGCTTGAGCACGGCGACGGCGGAGAACAGCGCGGTGAGGTAGTAGCCCCCCTCTCCCGCCAGTAAAGCGGCTGGTAACAACCCCGACATCAGCTCCGCTTCCAACTCAACGCATACTAGTCGACACCGCGTCACAGTCCACGCTGGAACTCTATAAATAGGCGGGAACTCACAGCAGTGGTGCTGTCCGGCCCCTGGTCGGCCGGCAGAAACCCCAACATTAGTTCCGCTGCAAACTCGCTGAATACTAGTCGAAACCGCGCCTCAGACCACGCTAGAACTCTGTAAATAGGCGGGAACTCACAGGAGTGGCGCTGTCCGGCCCCTGGTCGGGCGCCAGTCGCTTGAGCACGGCGACGGCGGAGAACAGCGCGGTGAGGTAGTAGCCCCCTTCTCCCGCCAGTAATGAGGCTGGTAACAACCCCGACATCAGCTCCGCTTCCAACTCAACGCATACTAGTCGACACCGCGTCACAGTCCACGCTGGAACTCTATAAAAAGGCGGGAACTCACAGCAGTGGCGCTGTCCGGCCCCTGGTCGGCCGGCAGTAACCCCAACATCAGTTCCGCTTCCAACTCACCGCATACTAGTCGATATCGCGCCTCAGACCACGCTAGAACTCTGTAAATAGGCGGGAACTCACAGGAGTGGCGCTGTCCGGCCCCTGGTCGGGCGCCAGTCGCTTGAGCACAGCGACGGCGGAGAACAGCGCGGTAAGGTAGTAGCCCCCCTCTCCCGCCAGTAACGCGGCTGGTAACAACCCCGACATCAGCTCCGCTTCCAACTCGCCGCATACTAGTCGACACCGCGTCACAGTCCACGCTGGAACTCTATAAAAAGGCGGGAACTCACAGCAGTGGCGCTGTCCGGCCCCTGGTCGGCCGGCAGTAACCCCAACATCAGTTCCGCTTCCAACTCACCGCATACTAGTCGATACCGCGCCTCAGACCACGCTAGAACTCTGTAAATAGGCGGGAACTCACAGGAGTGGCGCTGTCCGGCCCCTGGTCGGGCGCCAGTCGCTTGAGCACAGCGACGGCGGAGAACAGCGCGGTAAGGTAGTAGCCCCCCTCTCCCGCCAGTAACGCGGCTGGTAACAACCCCGACATCAGCTCCGCTTCCAACTCGCCGCATACTAGTCGACACCGCGCTACAGTCCACGCTAGGACCGGTAGCAAGTCATCAGCGCCCAGAGCGCGTTCGCCGCGTATCTGTAAACGATTTGCGGCATCAAAATACTATTCTATCCCCTAGCATGAGCATCGGGTATACTTAAGTTTAGCCTTTTTATTAGACCAGACTGTCAAAATATAATTGCTTAGTTTACACTTGATAAATATTACTAAATCGTGCACTTCAAATTTTAAGTCGGTGAAAAACAGATATCTATTTTATAAACCAGCCTGAATTTTATTTTAATAACATATTTTTCCTCCTTTTTATCACACTCGACTGTCAAAATACAATAAAGTTTACAATTGATAAATATTACTAAATCATGCATTCAAATGTATTTTTTTTTTTAACTTTTAAGTCGGTTTTGAACACATTTTTCATTCAGAGATAACCAGTCTGATTTACATTTCAATAACATATTTTTTTATTCCCTTGTCATTTACACAATCACTGATAATGACATCAGCATCACCAGTTTATTGAAGTGCCAACTGCTGAGGCAGAGGTATTCTCTAAAGATGGGTGGGTACTAACAACTGCGGATGTTTTCTTAAGATTTAAACATGTAGCAGTAAAATGCTTAAAAAATAAAAAAATAACTGCAGATGCAGTTGGTACACAGAGCAGCTTAAGATAATTAATATGTGGATAAGAAATAAATAATTCTTAATTGTATCGTATGATCATCATCATCATCATTGACCCATGCTCGTCCACTGCTGGACATAGGTCTCCCCGAATGCACGCCACTGCTCCCGATTTTCTGCCACTCTCATCCAGCTAACGCCAGCCAGCCTACGAATGTCATCATCCCATCTTGTCTTAGGGCGTCCCACACTACGTTTACCGAGTCGCGGTGTCCACTCAAGAACTTTACGGCTCCATCGGCCGTCAGTTCAGCGGCTAATGTGACCAGCCCACTGCCACTTCAGTTTGCTAATTCGGTGGGCTATGTCGGTGACTCTGGTTCTCTGTCGGATTACATCATTTCTGATGCGGTCCTTCATGTATCGTATATTTATGATATAATTATTGACTGTTGTCCTAATAAAATTCTGATTAAAGAGATTTGACTTTCTATCTGCAACCAACGGCATCACACAAAAAAATAACACGATGAACACTGCGTGGTAATGACTGATGACTCATAAAACAAATTGCAGCACGATCAATAATGCCTGCCGAACCATCTGTTAAATTAAATTCGTCTCGCCATCCGTTATCTATCATATCAACAAACAAATGTTTTAACAAGAGATGGGCGTAATCAATGTTTACGTTTGAAACTATAAACAAATGCACAACTGTTCCATTATCACAATTCTGAATCACTGTGTCAGAATCATGTAATCTGTGTCACTTTCACTTATCGACATGTTTAGCAGTAATTATTATTTTAAGAGTAATAATAATCTCTTACGTCTAACTTTATGAGAGTAATTATTTCTTTACAGTTTGTGTCTTTAACCTTGAAATCTATCGATCTCGATCCATCATTTTTGGAATTGCAATTTTATTTGACATCATACGAAATTCTTAGAGGAAGCACATGTCCATTGTCTAGCAGTGAACGTCCATCAGCAGATGATGATAACCTTATAGTATTATTATTATTATTCAGTATCGCTGATCCCTAATTCTTGTTTTTTCTTTTTTTCTTTTTATTCCTGTTCTTTTATTTTGTTTCTATTTTGTTATGTTTATGTTATTTTGTTGTTTCTCTTGTTATTGTTTTGTGCGACACCAAACCGGTTCCAACGGAAGACCAGAGGTAATGGCAACATTAGCACTATACTGAGTTGGGATCGATTTTTGTTTTATTTTATTTTAAATATTAATATTTTTTTCAAATAAAATTATTTTTCTTTCTTTCTAATCAAATTTGTTGACCTTGATATCCGTTATTGTAACGGCAGAGATCCTCTGTTTTCAGTCATGATGTCTGTCAATCTATGTAGGAGTAAGTATTTGTTTGTGTAAGTACACAAATTAAGTATTCTCGACTCATGGTTGTGTAAATAGTAAAAGATCTGATTAGTTTGATTAGCTAAATAATTACTCTCAGATAAAGTAATTTAGAAATGCGATTAGTGCGGAACTCACCGAATTGAACATTACAGATATGGCTGCCAGGAGGTTTTCGAGTTTGTCCAAAGGGGAGTCTGCCTCTTGCATTTTTAGGAAGTGTTTTGAGATCACTGCAAGGACTGCTGCCGATGGCACTTTCGTCGATTCCTGGTAACAAAAACACAACTTGATTATTAATAAGTGTGTAAAGTTTTTTGATGTAATTATATTTTAATAGACTTTCCTGCACTACAGTCGGTATTTCAGCATAGACCTTATTTGTATCAGGTAGTTTACAATTATTGTGGAGTGGCGACTAAAAAGGGGGAGCAGGAATGCAGGGAAGTAGCTCCTCTCAAATGGTCCGATGATATCACCAAGGTACCAGAAAGGAACTAGATCTGGATAGGAGACATATATCCAGAAACGGATACATACAGGTTGAAGAAGAAGAAGAAGATAGTTATATGTATATTCCTTACTTGCCTTGCAGCTTAAGAAATACTAGAGAAATTTCGACACGGCCGTCAGAGCCGCGGTAGTATAGTTGGTCCGTGAATTCGCCTGAAGGGTACAGGTTCGAGTCCCTGCTGCGAGTCTGCTGCCTGGTCCGCGTGATTTTTTTTCTAGTAACATTTTCTTAAGATGAAGAGAATAAGGCTTAATAAGTGTCTTAATAATGGTATATTTACAAACCTTAACTCCCAGCTGTAAAGGTGTAGAGTGTTGGGCTCGTTCTATGGCCGCGTGCAGTCTTCTGACGTCGTTGGCGTGCCAGCTGGCGAGCAGCGTGTATAGTCGCGCCCGAAGCGGTCTGACCACGAGCCTGTGCATCACACCTTCCAATATCGCGTCTATATTGAGGAATTCCGTCGGTTTGAGCTGGAAGGAGGAAATTTTTTTATAGTGATCCAGCGAAGAAAGAAACCTTGGAAACACTTTTATGAGCGTGTTTGTCATAGTTAAACGGCTCAGAATTTCATGTTTATTTTTGTGCAAATATCCACATGGACGTTTAGCTTCAATTGCTTTTATAGGTGTACCAATTGCATCACATAAGTAATGAATGTATCCGTAGCTGTCAAATATGGCGTCACATTAAATAAGAAAAATCATCCCGTCGGTAAATAGCCCGATTGAGTTTTATTTCAAGTTTTTGTTACAACCTAACCTAAAAGCATGTGGTTCTCGGGGCCACCAATTTCGGTCTATCATTTCGCCGGGAAGCCGATACATACATAATGACACCAAGAATAAGAAATAATATCGTCGTCACATTCGTTCTAGGTGGTTTTCCTAAGATTTTAAGTGGTGGGCCCAACGTCCACATGCTCACAAAACAAGCTTTCAAATGATGTAATGTTTCATCGCTGCCCGAAACCGACTAACCCGTTTACCGTCTCCTTTATACTGTAAATATTTGTTTTCTTTTTCAAATGACAAGATATTCCATGAAACAAAATGAACATTAATATGAAATGAAATTCGTGATTTTTAATCTAATTTGACGATTTTATATGAGGATACGTAAAACATAACCGCTCAGATGATAATATTACATTAATACAAAATTAAAGAATTGCTTGATGTTATAAGAATGCCATTTTAAGATTTGAATAATACTGTTGTACTGTTGCAAGTTCCATGATCACGGATTTACGGAGTTACAGTGCCATATCGGGGACTTGCAAAAAATGAGGCACAAGATAGCAATACTATTAAATTTGTGGTATCATTCCCTCTAATTACGCAAGATTGTACAATATCAATATTATGTATATTAAATGTTACATGGTATCCTATAAACACCCGTGTAGTTGATGTAAATGTCTAATATATACCATATGTATGATTAGATAAATATTCTAACAAGAATTGTGAAACATTCGAGACTTCTGCAAATCTTTGTAAATTAAGTTCTTATATAAATTATTTATTACCTTTAATCTCTCCTTTTCGACTTCCTTCTCAAATTCCCTTTCGCCATGTTTGACCAGATAATTCTTCATTCCCGACATAAATTGCCTCATGTTCCTCATCATTACCTAGAAAAACATATTACCATGTACCTATAAATACTGTGAATTTATAATTATGAAGGCGGTCTAGAAAATAAATTAATTCAACGCTCATCGTAGTTCAGGTAACGAATTGAGCGACCATTTCGCAAAGAAATTTATTGCATCATTTCTTTGTTGCAATAAGCTGAAATTGTTTGCCTATTCCCGCCTTCCTACAACCCGGAGTCAAACCCCATAAAGCGATACCAATGCTTGCTTTGAAGCATCCTAAATAAGATTTCAGATTGTTTAGTATGCTGGTATAGCGAAGGTAATGAATGTGGAATATACCTTGTAGTAGAAATGATAACATTGATCCTTATTACCTGTGGTTTTTTTTAAAGGAACAGTCAGTAACGGCATTATAGCAGTAACTTACGCGTGCACGCAAATAGGGTATTTGACACATTATTGACTGATGTTTATGGAGTCCGTAAAAAGTGGATATTCATCATTCTGTTGTGTATTTCGGTAAAAATAACCAAATCAAAAGAAAAAAATTTCAAGTTGCCACGAAAACGTTTCTCTGGACAATATGGCGTCTTACTAGTGTGTGACGTCACACGACTATTATTAAAACGTCAAACGATACAATGTAATGTCACTTTAACCGGAAGTTTACTTGCGTGTGACGTCATTTTAGGCTCCGCCAATCCCAAGCGTTTTGGGTCACGTGACAATAGATAAGAAAACTATTATCTTTTTCGTGGGTTTTTAGTAAAATTACGAATATTTTTTTTTTGTAAAAATAGTAAAAACTCCTGACACTATTCATTCTAAACACAGATCTATGCTAACAATTGGCACTTTATTTTTAATACTGTCAAATACCCTATTTGCATTGGACCTCTTTTCGTCTTCTTACCTGCGGACAAGTTTCCTTTGAGTCCAGGGTGCATGCTATGAAGTTGTCGATGTTTTGCGCGAACGTCGTGCTCTTGTCTTGCGCGAGGTGTAGCGCGTACGCCCGCAAAGCTGCGCCCGCGCCCCGCGCGCCTCTCCCGCCACGTAAGGCACGCACCCGACCGGCCGCTATGGAAAAAAAAAGGTTTGTTCATCCTTATCTTTTACTTTGAGTGGTTATCTATGCCAACCTCTGTAAAAAAAAAGTTTTGTTAAGTAATAGGCTAGTTGACCCTTTTTGGAAAAAGGTTTTAAATGGTTAATAAATGTTCTATTAGACCGAAAAAAATGTATTGTATTTTTTTGAGACCTAGAAAGCTACAAATCTTTAATTTTAAAATAGACTTTTCATGGACATACAAAAATGCTGCCGGCCATTTTAGTCTATAGATTATCTATGCTATGACGTTGACAGTAGTAAACAAAAACTCGTAAGCACGTAGAAAATAACCCATCTGAGTTTATAATAAAAAGAAAACATGATTTCTAATAGATACCACGAAAAATATAGTAATTATTATTATTGTATTGTACGAGAATGTAAAAAAAAATCTTTGAAGACTCCAGGAAAGTTGTGGATTAAAGTGCCGAAAGAAATTAACCTACGCAATATCTGGTTAGAACTTGCTAAAAGGGATCCTGCAACTTTAACGACTCATAGTAAAATTTATTTTTGCGAAGATCACTTTGATGTAAATACTCATTGAATAATATTTTAAGTATCTTCATTTATTATCAGTTTTAATGATACAAGTTTTAAAGTTATGTATGAATGACATTTAGTTGTTTACTAAAACAGACGTCACAATCATGGCGGATGTGGCGAACAGCGTTTTAAGTGTTTAAAAAGTATAGACTAAAAATTGTTTTTTTAAATTAAATTTCTACAGCAATCTTCTGCTTTTATGAAGTGAAATCAATATATTTAGGTTCCTTGGACAAAATACTTTAAGAAATAAACATTTATTTAATACAATTCGACATGAGTCAACTAGCCTATTTGGCCGTTTTTTTTCAGTTTGAGCGGGTGCATAAGCCAGCTGCAGCAAAAGAGGTTCTACTTTAATTTTGAAAGAGAAGAGGAAAGAGCCCGAAATAATGAATAGAGCGTTCAGTATGCAAATCATGATAGTTAAGCGACTTTCGAAAGGGCCGATTATTGGATAAGTAATGAAACTTTTATATTTTTAAACTCTTAAAAGTGCTTCGTAAAACTGTTGACCAATACGCACTGAAGTTGACATGAAAGTTTCCAGACAACATAGGTTGAGTAGGAGACGCTCTGAATCAATGTTCAATTTGAGGTTCAGAACTCAAGTTATAAGTTTTATATGGCATGGTACCCAACATGTGCGAGTCACCCGTAGCCATGGAGGGAATCTTAGTTAAAAATCTATTGTTGAATTTGAACTTAAAAAACAACGGTTTATTTTTACGAAAGCGGCATTACGCGTCGCGTCTCTTGTGAACTGACCCTTAGTCCTGGTACGTAAATATTCAATATAATTACATGACCTCGCACAATATCCTTATAATTTCATTTCCTTGTGATGTTTTCAAATGTTCTAAATGTTGTGGCATATTTGGAAATAAAGAACGCGATTTCGATATTTTGTTTACAGCTATCTAAAAGTTGGAATAATTTGTTATTTTCCTCAATATAAAAACATACCACTGTCCCTAATTTAGTCGACCGTCTCGATTAATAATAATTATAATGCAATAATAGACTATACCAAAATTAACAATATTTACTTTGAATATAGGAATGTATCTATTAGAAACTAGTTATTTATTCCTACGACCTAACTCAATGTAAACTAGGTAAGTTCAAACCATGTCTAGGACACCAAAGAGATAAATTGATTTGTGTATCTACTAGACAATTGTATTATTTCAAGTGATATAATATTATTAGATACTGATAAAATACGCAATAATAATGCATTACACCAATTAAATATCATTATTTCTATGATAAAACTAAAAATAACTTAAGATCATAAGGATATTCGTGAAAATAAAATCGAAGGATTGTTTAATTGAGATAAAATTATGAGAGATAACAAAAATTAAATAAAAATGAAAATAAGACGAGGAGCTCGATGGCGCAAGTTGTTAGTGCGTTTTGCTGCGATCGTTGAAGTTAAGCAACTTTTGCACTGGTCGGTCATTGGATGGGTGACAAAAATTTACTATCTTGAGCTCCTCCGTGCTTCGGAAGGCACGTTAAGCCGTTGGTCCCGGCTGCATCTGCAGTCGTTAGCACCCACCAATCCGCACTGGGCCAGCGTGGTGGGTCATGGCCCAAACTCCCTATTCCATCCATAGGAAGATCCATGGGGAGGCCTTTCTCCCAGCAGTGGAGACATTAATAGGCTGATGACTATGATGAAAAATAAGACGATTACCTATAACCGAGTTAATCTGCCTAAAATAAAAATTTATCTAAACACAAAGCATTATAAGTTATTTGCTAATGTTTTTTTAATATTCGTCCACATTCAAAATTATTATCGAAAGGATGTTCAGACATTCTTTTGCTGAGTCAAACAGGAAAATTGTAATTGTATAACTTGCAGAAGAATTTATCTTATTGAATTAAACTTTGTTTAAAAATATGATAATAAGTATCTGATGATACTTTAATGCATTTCTATGAATGCGAAAGTTAAAACTCTAGTTTTTTTAGTTTTCTGAAGAGAAATTAGAAGTTTTTACCTATCTGCTTGAATTGAACCTTCTACGGATTGTTTTTGTCTCTTAATCAAAGACAAGAAGATCAAAAATATAGAAATGTAGGCACATACTATTAAATCAGGAATATTTTTGGGATTCACTTCATGGAAGGTTAGGACCATTATCGCTCACGGGGACATCCCGACATAAAAGTTTTTGCGCCAAATACAGGGACATCCCATGACTCATAACAACACGTGTTATAAATAAGCATAGAATAAATGCAATTTCCATATTTTAAGACACTGAACCGAATAAAAAACATTTGCAATGCACGCGCTAGTTGCCGTAAATATCACAAATATCCTTTTAAATAAAAACAAAATACGTGGGAATTTTACTATCCATATTTAGACAAATCAGAAATATTTTTATAACACTTTTTATAGTTAGAGCTTATTAAAGAGTTGCTAATTTACTTAATTGAAATGATTTCATAAGTAAGTCAATTTGTGTTATGCAAGTTACAACTTTCCCTACATATTAAGCTTTCGGCATTGTTATAGCCATTTGTAAGCTAGGGGCATTCAAAGCACGTGGTATTTTTCTTCTATTGAATTCCAGGTACTAAATGTCTGTACTAATAATTTGATGTTCAAATTAATTTAAAATAGAAACTGTGGTAAGTCTATTAAGGAAAATATAGTGGTACGTAACGTTGGCACACACGTTTAGTGTCAATCAAAGTTATTGTTCTAAATAACCAATTCTCATCAATCAATAGAAAATATTCAAAAGTTTACCTACATAAGTATCGATACGTCATACTTGAAGGTATGCCAGTCTCCTCTTGATTAGTTTCATTGTTCACTTTGTCTTTTTTCTGAAACAATTTGCAGAATTTCCGCCATAAGTTAGCGATTGATTTAACAAATCTCCTTAGCAAGCTCTCACGTTTACGCACAATATTACTTTCATCCGCATCAAGTTCATCACAATGACAGCTGGGAGATTTCACTACCACTTCAAAGACTTTGGTGTTGAATTTTTTCTTCGCTATTTTCCCGCACAAATCAGATACAGCGCCGGAACTCGCCAATCTGTATTGAAACTTTGGTTCGAAGAATTCTTCACGTGTTAGAATCACCCAATCACTTTCTATCACGAACTCGTCAATAGCGTCCGTGCGGAAGTTCCTCGCCGTTGTCAAAATGTAAACTTCCTCTGGACCTGCCTCCAGAGCCTCCCAAGACTCTTCAATAGAGTCTTCCTGCTCATAAGGTCTCAGAGAATCGAACTTGTTCCACCAAGGATCCTTCTTGCTCGTGCTCGGTTCAATAGCCCTCTCTGACTTTCCTAGGAACAACTTTTTGAACCACTTCATGGCTTATAACTTTGCGGTTCCTGCCCGCGTGAACGAAAGATTTGAATTTATGGTTTCTCATTCACACACGGGAGGTCTGCCGCGCGCGCTAGCTGAAAGCCAACTGACAGCGTTTTGTTGTGAGTAAGCATAACGGCACGCGCAAACCTTTGCCCTTTAGCTACATTTGATTTATTTACAGACTTAATGTGTTATAATAGATAATAGCTGTTTGCAGCGGACCCATTGTATGTACTCGTGACAGTTAATTAATTTGATAATGATGTATGCGATTGATTAGAACGTCATCGTGTCTCGAACTCGATGCACTGGTTATGAGCCGAGAAATTTAGGGCGATGCGATAGAAGACGACCGGGACAATAGAGTACCCGGACGCTTCCCCGTTTGCTCAATATTTAAAATAGGATAACATTCTGCGCATTTTTTGATAACTGGGCGACGGGCCGGAACAAGACAAACAATTAGCCAATGACTGATTATTTATGGGAACTGCGTTTAATTGAAATTAAGCATAGTACTTATCTTTAACATGAAACTGTTGAGATATTTATAGCAAAGAGTCTACATACATTACGTATAGTTATGTTAATGATAAATTATTGTATCATAAACATAATCTCATAATATCTGAAATAACCTTTGGAGAGAGTGACAGTAGTAAACATTGTTGTTTGATTAGGTATTATGTGAACACGTGTTTGCGGTACGTCGCTGTGACATTAAAATAGTACAGTCAATCTGTCGAAAAAAATATCGTTTCAGTGAAAAAAAAACCTAAACGTTTTACTATTTTTTATTTTTTTTCATGATTGAAAAACAAAAAAAAATGAAAAAAAATAGTTTTATTTTTATTTTTTTTCATGATTAAAAAAACATAGTAAAAACTTACATTGAAATGTGCACTGCAAATGTGTACTTGAACTGCCCAAAACCGCTCTATTGGATTTTTCATACCTGCGCAATTTATAACTTGAAAACGGTAAGTAATACAAAAAAAATGTTTATACAAAAGTTGTTGGTAATTATGTACGAAACAACTTTGCCATTTAAAGTTTTCCATTAAAA